TTCTAACGGTTACCGAGATCCGTTCGATTATAGACTGTGTGAATTCCCGTGCGGATTCAATTCTGAACAACCAGTCCATATTACACTATTGGAAATGTCTCTTGCTTTCACACTTAATTCACATCACCGAAGTTGGTAGAATTTAACAGAGTTTTGGACAGCAGAACGCCGGTAAAATTTTGAAATTACGTGAGAAATCAATAAAATTGGCAATTTTTTTGACGTAAGACTACGTCTGTGATTTCTATATGGGGGTACACTTTGTAAAAACTGAAAATGGAACATGTAACAAAATTATGAAAGATTTTGGACGTTAATAACTCAGCTGCCCCTGGACCAATTTCAATAACTTTATCACCGATCGATCAAAAATACTTCTACGCATCTGTTAAATTAAAGAATTTATAATTTTTCAAAATGTCACCATTGAAAATTGCACGAATGTGCAACTGTTGCTATGATAATTAAAATTATCCCCGAATGTCTGCGAAAAGCGATTTCCCTAAAACAGATTTCAAAGTTGAATTCCATCCGGTCCCACAAATCGGTGTTTATTCAATCACCGTATGGTGAGTGGTGGTGTTCGCCAGCAAGGCTGCCCTGAACCGCTGATCGAATTCAGTTCCAATCACCGTGTGTCCAGTCGTCGGCATTAGCAGCAGCAGTGCTTTCGGCGCGCGTGGCGTTGAACATTGTTCTCTAGTACACACCGAAAGGCTGCCTGCAAGCAGCGAGCTGCAGCCCACATGAGCATCCATAGAAGGAGGAAGAAGCCGCACCGCTATTGATCGGAATCAGTAGCTCTTCGTGAGTAGCTGTGAGCCATCAAGCTACTGCTGCAGTTAACAAATAACATTTATTATATAAGACCACGTAGTCCTGCGTCACCACTGTGTTTTTTTATAAATAAATGAAGTAAACTGAACAAAGTTTGTACAAGTTCGGATTGAATTGATTAATTATTGGATATTTCACTGCTTTTTAAAATTTTACCACGGCTTTGTAGTTCAAAATTTACCGTACGAGACCTTGATTAGTGTGTACAGCTTCAATCCACAGTCCCCTTCGAATATTATCACGTGCCGTTCGAACTTCAGGGAAAATGATGAGAGCTCACTTTTTGATGATCATGTTTTGCTGGGCAACACTTTACAGGATTTTTTCTGTAGCTGAGAAATTAAAACACTTCTGAATAACAATTAAAATTAAATTATGCGCGAATTCGACTCAACCAAAATGGAAATCAGATCTGTTTTGCTTGAGCTGTCAAAGTGCAAAAAATTGTTTTCAACCATGGCCAACGTCGGTTTTGCCATAATTGTAACCGTCAAATGTCAGAGAGGGGTGATTCAAATAATATTAATCAAAGCTGTCTCCCATGGAGAATAGAAGAGCTATGAAAGTACCCCAGTATTATGGGCCTACTAGTCACTATTATGGGTCAGTCAATTCTGCGTGTTAATCAAATTGAAGTGATCCATAATTGTGGGTGACTCATAACTACGATGATTGTATATTAGTGCAATCTTAAAATGCTGTTATTTTGAAAAGAAGCATTTATTTACATTTGGTTGCTGCCAAGTTGATAGAAAAGCTGTAATCTAACTAAAAGTCTGAAAAAAAATATATGTTTTTAAATATAATATGTCCATTGCAGCGAGCAACCAGATTTTATTAAATAATTTATTCGCCAATCCGTGGAAAATTTTGAAATCATCATCACTTTCATAGTTCTTCTATTCTCCACTCACTCCTATTTGATTTGCCAATAGGCTATCTTGATATGATTTCCGGTGAAAAATTGACGTACAACTGCTCATTTCAAGACAGCCTATATCACGTGATATCAGCAATAGTCTTAACGTACTATCATAGAGGTAACTCTAAGACCACTGGGTCCCGAAGAAAATCATTATTATTTTTGGCTCACTCAGTACCAGAACAACGGTCCCAAGCAGTCCCAAGCTATTTCACTCACCCCTGCATGTTCTGCATGAATCCACACACCCCTGATGTTATCTGTCAAACTTTCATAGCGAATCAAAACAAACATAGTGTAGTAATAGAATTTCAACTAGAATAGGGTACGTTAATCGTTTGCTTGGGACCAATAGGCTAGTCAAGTAGTGAGCCAATTTAAAATCGTTAGTTTCGTATTGATTGTTGGTACTATTAGATCCATCCTTGGTCCATTTCGCCAAGAGTTAAAAACGCATCAAACCACAGAACTGGGCCAACAATTCGTCCCTGGCGGCAAATCGAAACCGAACCCCAACCAACCGACGGCTGTCCCGTCAAAAGCGAATTAATATCTTGTCAAATACACACATTATCGCAGAATAATTTTCCCCGATTTCACGAGACTGCTGCTGCTGCACAGGTGGATCGATAAATCTCGTTTTCCGCCTGTATGTCATAAGCACTCACATGCGAACGCGTTTATGCGCCTGGAAACAACAACAAAATATGGGGAGCCTCAAAAGATGTTTCACACTAAACACGATCAGCGCGGGCCGGGAATCAATTTCGAAAGGGGGCGTGGTAAGTAGGCGGTTAAATTATACATAAGAGTTGGTTATTATTATGTAGTTATAGCAACTCGCCCAGGTTACTCTGCGAGAAAACTCGTTCGGGGTCCAAGAAACTGACCGCCGCTGCTGCTGCTGCCACTGCTCGATGGAGCTCTGTGCAAACAGCCCTAGGGCATGGGAGTTTTTCAACCCAAGAAACATGCGAGTTGAAACAAAGGAGAAGAGCAAAGAGTTGTTGCGAAACGTCGCTCGTCCGTTCGGCCGCGTTGCGGATCTTGCTGTGTGAAAATAACTTCTCAAATTATACGTTAGCAACTAAATTAGATTACTCCGGCGAGGAGAGCTCGGTCGAACCCCCGAAGCATCCGCAGAGGGCTAAATTAAGACATTTTAAAGTGGCGATATTTGATCCACTGCCCTCCCCGTGCTTTTCGCGCGCAGCTTGCTGATGCTTCTTGATGAACGTGGGAAAATTTTTGACAACTTTGTCATCGAACGTCACAATTTTGCAAGGTGATACCCCCCGTCGTCGGCGTCTGAAACTAATTCGATAAAAAGTGTTAACCCCCGAACTCCACATTGTGGAGGTTGTTCTCTGGGATCCCTTGATGGCGTACGAAAAAGTTTTCGCCCATTTTTCCATAAACTCGAAAGCACCGTATGTATGTAGTTGGGGTGCGGGAAACCACAAAAAGGGCTGCACGTTCGTTTGGTTTGCCCTCTTGCAGTGCATTGTTTACACTTGGCTACACCGCTGATGACAACATGGGCAACCATGGTACGAGACGAGAGTGGAAAAACTATGAGTGCTTGAATTTTTGTTTTTTTTTTTGTAAGTGCGGTGGGGCTAAGTTTCCATTAAATGTTCCGCTTGTTTGAACGCTTGGTCTCGTTGTCGTCGTCTGCGAAGCATGTTGAAGTCTTTTTTTTGTGAGAGATTATTGCAGTTTCATAGTTTATCTGGACGACGTTGATTTACTTTCCGCTTTCACCGCTGCAACTGGCTGCGTACTGACGGTTGACGTTTCGTTCCACTCACTACCCCCCGCACGGTTGCTATGCGCAATCGAGGTTGGAATGTGGGTCTGCTAACAGACATCTGACGTTTTAATTTCAACCCAAAGTCTCGCAAAACGAACGACAGGTTAGGATTCAACGAACGAACTATAGAGACACACCAGCAAAACCAAGAGCAGTGAAATAACTGTGTTATATGATTTCAATTTAATTGTTTGGTCGAGTTGCTCTGTATCTGTTCCCTGTATTTATGCAGCCACCGACCGTACGTAATGTCTAGGGATAGCGTGTGTCATTGACAGAGGACACAAAACGTGGGGTTGCTACTGGCTGTGGATAAACACACAGCCATACAACTGTGGGAGGAGTTGCAATTGCTTTATTGAGGTTTGTGTTGTATTGTGGCTGGTTTATGTGTCCTCCCGGAGCGGCCTGGCCCTTTTGTCCCGTGTGTCCGAAAAGAGGGGGTCGTAAACGGAAAAATCGATACTACCCGGTTGTTACCAGAAAACAATGCCTGCTTTGTGGCTTTAAACTCTTCACTGACTGCTCGCAGCAACCTGTCGCTGAGCTTTAATACGCAGCCTGCTTTGATTAATGGTGAGTGCTTTGTTATTGCTCCGCCACCATCGCACGGAAACACCAGCGAGCAAGAGCAAGTGAGGTTAAACTGAACGTAAATATTTACTCAACACGCCACCGGTAGGTCATAGCCGTGCTTTACGCCTCATTCTAGTTTTCAATTAACCGAATAATCACTTTTTCCACAGTGCATTAGTCCAACAAACATTTCATTTCTGGCGCTCTGCGGAGCAGAAGCGAGACCTGCCAACGCAACTACGGATTAATCCGCATCGAAACGACTCACGGAATCCGGGATTTCTCCCTTCGTTCACCTTTCCAGGTTTGTTTATCAATCAATCTTCGACGCGAGAATCACCTTTGAAAAACGAGCCAGGCAATCAGAAATTAATTAAGATCAATCTCCACGCCAGCACTCCGGCGGGGATCGATAACCGAAAACCGAGCTTGGAGGAAAATTGATGCTTACACGTTAATTAAATTTCGTTCTCGTTCACCACGAAATTGGCCCTCGGCAGCGCAGAGCAAGCAGGGTAATTATAGCAACAAGGCATGAATAATTTAATAATTACCACGCACCTCTTGAAAGGTGTGGTGTGATTGTGAAGAATCCAAGCAAACATGCAGAGGCAAAACAACTTCGCGGGGCGTTGCTGCGTCGAAAAGTCATAGCCTGCTGCCGTCGGGAAGGTCGCTCATTGTGTTCGTTCAAGGCCTGCTGCCTGCCTTCTCAGAAGGATTCCTCCTGGCAGTCATTGTTCTGTCGTTCGGTGTCATAAAGGAGTGTTTTGCACTTTATGGCAGCACATTGCTCTTGACGAAAGTAGGTAATTGAAAGAAAAAAAAAATAGAAAGAAAAGATGCACTTACCGGTGTGAGTACGCTTGTGGATCTTGAGATTCTCCGATCGGGCAAATACTTTGCCGCAGGCAGGAAATGGGCAGGGAAACGGCTTCTCTCCGGTGTGTACCCGGATGTGATTGACCAGTTTGTATTTGGCCTTAAAGGGACGTCCATTGCGGGTGCATCCAAGCCAGAAGCAGGCATGGGTCGTGCACTCCGGTCCACCAACGTGATCCACCGTCAGATGCGTAACGATCTCCTGCATCGAATGGAACACCTTGTTGCACGTTTTACGACTGCCGTCGGACGCAGCCACTACGGCCGCCGCACTGAGAGCGGTCAGGCCTAATCCTAGATGATGGGGAGGAAGTTCCGGTTCGACCCAGAGGCATTGCATCTCCTGTTTGATCGAAGGCGGATGTCGCATGTACCGGAAGAATGCTCCCGAAGTTCCCGGATTAACCGGAAGATTAGCCAAGTGCTGATGATGGACCGAAGGGTAGTTACTCTGGTGGTACGGATGAGCGTAATCCGCCGACAGGCCCATTCGCATTGGGTGCTGATGAAAGTGATGATTGCTCAACGATGTGGCCGAATGGTGATTCAAGTTGTCATGAACGGCAGGATGATGGAACAACGAGGTCGGATCGCCAGAGGCACTGGCCGAGGAACTAAAATAATCATTATCACGCTTCAACGCGAGGAAATCCCTCGAGTGATAAGGAGCCATGTGGCTCATATGCGAAGGCGGTGATAAATGATGCGAGTTGTACGCACTGCTGGCGTTGGCCGATGATTGATAGAAGGACTGCGATGACAACATGTCGCTTTGCGCATTGGAACTGCCCGTGGAAGGTGGCAACATACTACCGGTGCTGGTGGATTCGACGTCACTCTGCTCCAGATGATCTGGAGACATTTTAATCCCGAACGTTGCCAAATGAGAGTGATGAGCCGTCGAACTGGAGTCCATAAATGCATTCATCATCATCTCGGTAGCCGGGAAATGAAACACTTCTTCTTCACACTGCTTCACTAGCTTGTCAATCCTGCTTCACTGTTGTACGTCAACGTAATCTTTTCACTTGTCGTCACTTGGTAAGTACTATACTCTTCATTAACATATAAAACCCCCTTATGTCTTCTTCTATCACTTGAGACGCTGTCACTGTTACATTTCACCTTGAAAACCCAAATCTCATTATCACGACCGGGCGCGCGACCGCACGCGACACTAATTCTGCACGAAACGGAATCCGATAAATCTCCTCCTTCACGCTGTGATCGCCACTAACGCGCTTCCTGCAGAATCCTGCAGGACATCTACACGGCCTCGTAGCGACGGTAGTCTTCCGTGAAAACTCTTGAAACAACTCACTCCGGAGTGCGCTGTGTGGAGCCACAGCAGTATGGTGTTTACAATACGACACACGCAGCGGGACTAAACTCTAAAATTCTATCAAGATTTGACCTCACTACAGGAATCCCCGTATCCTATTGAGCGAACGAACGTTGGTAGCGTACTGACTGGACGGTACGGCAGAGCAGGAGAGCGAGCGCTCACATCATCATCGCAGCAAGCCAAACCGATGGATGGAAAGGTAGGCCACGCCCCGCCTTGCCAGTTTACTTGCATGATTGGATATCGCAACGTAAACTGCAAAACCGTAAATATGCTCGTCTCGCTCGCACTGCTCACTCCGAGTCCCTTTCATTCTGCCATTCTCTCTCCAGCAGCCAGAATCAAAACCATTTCCTCTCTTACTTCAACTCCTTCCAAATCAAACATCCAACTGAAACAAAGTAGCCGATTGCTCTTTCCCTTTCACTCTTCCCCGTATTCGTACTCCATTGACAAAGCCGCATTCGAGACCATCTCTTTCGCCCCACTCCCGTTACAGCTTTCGGAAACTTTCTCCCCGTTCCTTTCACTCTTTCACCCCGCCGTGGCTTGCAAACATTTAACGTTATTAATTTAACCAAAAATTGTTATTGTTAAAATATTTGTCAAATTTGTCAACCTTAGTCAAATATTCACAGCCGGGGATTCGATTCTTTGTCGTCCTCTTCGCGATTCGTTCTTTTCCGTTTCACTCACTCGCGTCGTATGGGTGTCGTTGTCGTTGTTGTCATCGTGATGCGGCGCGGCGGTCAACTCGCTCGATCTGATCTGCTTGCTGAGCGCCGCCACGCGCTTTCTGCCTGCTGGCTTGGTGATCATTCCGGCCTGTTCGGTGTCATTTTTCCTCCTTTGTTCGCGTAAATTTGATAATTGAGTGGTAACATCCCTCCGGGGACCGTTGAAAGGTTTTGGGACACCCAAAACAACAACAACAACATCGGTGGGGAAGCGCAGTCAGTGTGCGTTGATCTAGTCGCTTGTACCCGCGAAGCAGAGAAGGACCGCGGAGAAGAAAAATGGCGTCGCCCTCGATCGAGTGTCCACCACGCTTGCTTGGTTTGTCAACATGCGCAGCAGCAGCAGCAGCAGGTGAGCATATGGGGAAAAGGTGTGATCATGTTACAGTTTTAATTAGGATCGTTTTCAGCAAGAAATCTCACGGCGAGTGTGCCATTTGCGGAGATTGCCATCTCTCGGAGGGGTAATTAGAGGTTGGTCCACGTATGGAATTGGTGCGTACCCGGCCAGGTCGTGATCGGTTCGTTTTTGGTGAGAGCAGGAAGCTGTGCTGTTGTCGTCGGTGTCGGTGGTCGGTCCTAGGTTCAACCGTAACTACCATGGGAGCCGGTAAATAGGGACTAATTAGCATTATAAAACCAGCGTGAAAGCGGGACAGTTATCGTTCGTAATTATTGACCGGTGTTGGTATTGGAGGTAATGTTGATACTAAAATGGAATTAACATCTTTCATAAGTACTCTTGAGTATTTTCTAAAACTATAGACGGCTAGACAGCCACAACGGTTTCAACGGTTTAATACATATGCATATCGTCGAAAGATTCCACTCGATTGACTTCGACTGCTCAGCAACTGAGCAAAAAATAGCCAACCGGTGTCAAGTGCCTTTCTCGTGTAATATCAAATAACTGTATTCCATATTCTGGTAACCATTGCATGGGCAATCAAAGCATGTGTGAGTGTTGAGTAAGTGGTGTAAAACGTTTACTAAGTAGTTTAATGTTTCATTTTATATCAACATTTGAAATATGCGGAACAACTAAACGTAAACAATAGCTTTAAACGCAAATTTTTCGAGAATCAGATTTCATGAATCGAAAAAAGTGTTTAATACTAAAATTACTAAAAATAACCCTCTTTAATATTTTATCAATTTATTTTTATTTTTCAAACATTGTCCATACTTTTTAAGTGTTCAACATGAAATTTCCACAGAAGATTGCATTTTTCATAAGCTTGTAATCTAAAAATATTAGGGTCGTAGAGTCATTTTATGTTAATCAAATTTTTAAAACATTTTGGAATTTTTCACCCATTATTACTAGAAATGTTTACCGTGTATATTTTTTTTCCGGAATATGAATCATTTTTTCCTACAAATTTGTATCAGACGTCATTTCTCGTGGAAGCAACTTTTCGAGTTATGATTTGGTGAAAAATTTCGAATACGCCATTTTAATGTTTATTACACTTTAAGATATCAGGTGGTCAATAGTAAACACTTTAACTACGAGAACCTCAAAACTTCAAGCCTCTAGCAGTTGTAGTTTCTGAGATATCGGATGTCAACGTCCCTGGCGAGCTGTATGTTGTTCGGAACGAGGGTGACGTGCTTGGCATAGATGGCCCACAGCGGCTCACGACGAGCTACTGAATCCGATCAGTAGCGGTGCGGCTTCTTCCTCCTTCTTCGGTGAATGGACGCTCATGTGGGCTGCAACTCGCTGCTTGCGGGCAGCCTTTCGTTTTGTACTGGAGAACAATGTTCAACGACACGCGCCGAAAGCACTGCTTCTGCTGCTGCTGATGATGATGATGTGTGAGACTGGATGGAATTTTTATTTTGAAATCTGTGTTAGGGAAAGCGCTTTTCGTTATCAGGCCTTTGGTAAAGAGCTTGGTGAGAAAGATGGTATTGTTGTTCGGGACGACAGAATAGTGCTTCCATCCATGTTGAGGAAAAGAGCATTATAAATCGCTCATAGGGGTCATCCAGGAGTAGTTTCAATGCGTAGAATCTTACGAGAGAGAATATGGTGGCCATGCAAAGATGTCGGCACTATGATTCAAGAGTGTGTCGGATGTGCAGCCGTAAGTAGACAACATCGACCAGAACCGATGCTGCGGAAAGAGATGCCAGATCGTGCTTGGCAAGAGGTTGCCATTGATTTTTTTTCCGTCAAGGATTGCACAACGTGTCTTGTTCTCGTGGATTATTTCAGCAGATATCTTAAAGTTGTAGAAATGAAGGGTACCAACGCCAGGAAAACTATTGATGCTCTTGAAACAATCTTCAATGAACAATCGTATCCTGAAACTATCCGAAGCGACAACGGACCATCGTTTTTAGGTGAGGAATTTTGCAGAGTACTGCCGAAATAAAAACATCAGATTGGTCCGTAAAATCCCATATTGGCCTCAGATGAATGGGTTAGTAGAAAGCCAGAATCAGGGGGTTCTCAGAGCTCTACGGATTGCGAAGGCGACTAATAACACTGTGCAACAAATCTGAACTTTTTTTTCTAGGACTGAGAAAATTCACATTATTTGACTTTCTCGTGGACCCCTGAGTAAAAGTCCTGAACATACCTATACCCTAACACGTCCTAATTTTTTGATACCGCCCTCTTTATGAATTTTGGTATGTTGTCCCGATGTCGGTTGTATAGTGCCTAACTAAAGCATGTTACGACATTGCCGCCCAAGAGTTTTTTTGTAGAAAATGACTTGAGAAACATTTTTTTACAACAATTGAAAACGATATCTCGTTGTCTTACCCCTCGTTTTTTTTAATTGGGTAAAAATTTAAAACCCGTCGAAATTTACAGTAAACTACTTTGGGATGCGATGGGATGTTGAGATTATAATTGTGCTGTTGTTGTAAAAAGTTTTTTGAAAATTTTGTCGAATACCCCACAATATGGGTATTTTTTGGTATCTGGGTGACGTGCAGCGACCGGAAATCAATTCCTGACGCTATTTTTATTTCAATGTGGCGGCTTCCGGTTAGAGAAAAGCTGGGAAGTACTGCCAAATTACCAACAACATGGGTATTTTTGGAATCTTGGTGACGTGTAGGGATCGGAAATCCATATCTGACGCCTTTTTGAAATTCAAGATGGCAGCTTCCGGTTAAAGAAAAACTTGGAAATTCGGTCAAGTACCCCGCAATATGGGTATTTTTGGAATCCGGGTGACGTGTAGGGACTGGAAAACCATGTCTGACGTCTTTCTGAAACTCAAAATGGCGGCTTCCGGTTAGTGAAAAACTGGGAAATACTGCCAAATTACCCACAATTTTGTTATTTTTGGAATCTTGGTGACGTGTTGTACAGGATATCGATGTCTGACGGCATTTTGACATTCAAGATGGCGGCTTCTGGTTGGGAAAAAAAAACTTGGAAATTCTGTCAAACACCCCACAATATTGGTATTTTTGGAGGGACCGGACATCGATGTCTGAGGCCGTTTAGAAATTTAAGATGGTGGCTTCCGGTTAGAGAAAAACTTGGAAATACGGCCAAATTGGGTATTTTTGGAATCTTGGTGTCGTGTAGGGACCGGAAAACCATGTCTAACACCTTTTTGAAATTCAAGATGGTGGCTTCCGGTTAGAGAAAAACTTGGAAATTCTGACAAATACCTCACCATATTGGTATTTTTGGAGGCGGAGTGCAGTTTAAGGACTCTAAATCGATGTCTAAGGCCATTTTTAAATTCAATATGGCAGCTTCCGGTGCGAGAAAACTTGGAAATTCTGTGAAATACCTCTCAATATGAGTATTTTTGGAGTATTGATGACGTGTAGGGACCGGAAATCGATGTCTGAATCCTTTTTTAAATTCAATATGGCGGCTTCCGGTTGGAGAAAAACTTGGAAATTTTGTCAAATATCGCACAATATTAGTATTTTTGGAGTCGGGGTGACGTGTAAGGGCCGAAAATCGATGTCTGCGGCAATTTTGAAATTCAAGATGATGGCTTCCGGTTGGAGAAAAACTTGAACATTCTGTCAAATACTCCACAATATGCGATCTATCTACGATGTAGGAAAAATTGTATTTTGCTGTGGTTAGCTGCTCGCACCCTGAGTAGATAGAAAAAAGATTGATAACGATTCTGAAGATTTCTTGCAAAAAGATGATGCGCGATGCAAATAAATACGAGTAATGAAAGACCAAGATTCCAAAAATACTCATATTGTGGGTAATTTGGCAGTCATTCCCAGTTTTTCTCCCACCGGAAGCCGCCTTTAAGAATTTAAAATGGCGTCAGATATCTATTTCCGGACCTTACACGTCAATTCCAAAAATACCCATATTGAGGGGTATTTGACGGAATTTTCAAGTTTTTCTCCAACCGGA